CTTATTAGATAAGTCCCTTTAACATTTCATATAATAAGGGCTTGGTGATGATGAACTCCTTTAACTTGACCTTATGTAGAAAGCACTTTATCTGCCCTCCCATCCTAAATGAAAGCTTTGCTGGATAGAGTCATCTTGGATGTAGGTCCTTGCCTTTCATGACTTTGAATACTTCTTTCCAGCCCATTCTTGCCTGTAAGGTCTCTTTTGAGAAATCAGCTGACAGTCTGATGAGAACTCCTTTGTAGGTAACTCTCTCCTTTTCTCTTGCTGCTTTTAAGGTTCTCTCCTTATCTTTAATCTTGGGTAATGTAATTATGATGTGCCATAAGGTGTGCTTCCTTCAGTACAACTTCTTTGGGACTCTTTGGGCTTCCTGGATTTGCATGTCTATTTCCTTCACCAGACTGGGGAAGTTTCCCTTCATTTTCAACTAAGTTTTCAATTTCTTGCTCTTCCTCTTCTTCTTCTGGCACCCCTATGATTCAGATGTTGGAATGTTTAAAGTTGTCCCAGAAGCTCCTAAGCCTCTCTTCATTTTTTTTGAATTCTTGTTTCTTAATTCTGTTCTGGTTGACTATTTATTTTTTCTTTCTGTTCCAAATCCTTGATTTGAGTCCTGGTTTCCTTCCCTTCACTGTTGGTTCCCTGGATATTTTGCTTTATTTCCGTTTGTGTAGCATTCACTTCTTCCTTTATTTTGTGGCCATACTTAATCATTTCTGTGAGCATCCTGATTACCAGTGTTTTGAACTCTACATCTGATAGGTTGGGTAGCTCCTCATCACTTAGTTTTTTCTCTCCAGTTTTGACCTGTTCTTTCATTTGGGCCATATTTCTTTGTCTTGGGCATGTGTTACAACATTGTAAAAGGATGGATTCTCAGGTATTTGCCAGGGCAGGGCAACCCACTTGGCTGTTTTATGGTACTGTATGTGGGGGAGAGGTCAGAGAGGAAACAATGTTTCTTGCTCAGTTTTGGGGCCACTTTCAGTCATTTCCCCCACTTCCTACAAGTGAATTGTGCCTTTCTGGTGCTGATTTCCAGATGGGTGGGCTTGTGTACATTCTAGGACCCCATGGACCCCTCCAATGGACTCTCCTGTGAGACTGGGAGTTGCTCCAGCTGCCATCACTGCCACAGAGTTTTACAGCCAGAGGTTTTATGGCTCTATTTCCTGGTGCTGGGAACCTGGGTTGTGTTGTCTATCCCATTCTCCAGTTATTCCTCCCAGTTTATCTGCAAGCAAATTTGGAACCACCTGGTCCACCAGCCACCACCTTGCCATGCATCCTCTCCACACCAGATGCTGGTCTCTGCCACTCCTACCAGTCTAGATGAATATTTCTTCTTTAAGTTCTTGGTTGTTAGACTTCCATACAGTTCTATTTTTCTGGCTGATTTTTTGTTTTTAAATTGGTTGTTATCCTTCTTTTGTTTGTGCAAGGAAGTGAAACATATCTATCTATGCTTCCATCTTGGCTAGAAGTCTACTTGCTTATTGATTGTTTTATTTTTGTTTTGTGTTTGTTTTTGTTCTTGGCTAACCAGTAATTCTCCCTTTTATTTATTTCTGTAACTAGTCCCCACTGATTCTGTGACCTCCCCAAACTTGTACACTAAACTCCTTTTTGCCTAAGTTAGCTAGCTTTTGGTTAGCTGACTTTGGTTTAGGCAGCTTAGTCTCTCAATAAACAAAAATATTAACCAATGCACCTTGCCCTACCTCTTATCCCTATTCTAAACTTTCTACTGATTAAGCATAGATTAGATCAGTGGTCCCCAACTTTTTTTGCACCAGGGACCAGTTTTGTGGTAGACAATTTTTTCATGGACCAGGAGTCGGGGATGGTTTCAGGATGATTCAAAACACTACATTTATTGTGTACTTTATTTCTATTATTATTATATTGTAATGTATCATTAAATAATTATACAACTCACCATAAAGCAGAATCAGTAGGAGCCCTGAGCTTGTTTTCCTGCAACTAAATCATCTCAGCTGGGGATGATGGGAAACAGTGACACTCGAAGTGTGTTGCTTATGTCCAGTCCACTTTGTAATCTCACTTTGGTTGCTGTCACTGCAGAAAAAACCTCTTCACAAAGTTAGGGTGTTGGAAATGGAAGCAGGCTTTTCAGTGCTTTTGTGGCAATCTCAGGATATTCCACTTTTAATGCACTTTAATCCAGAATGTATGGAAATTTGAAGTTGTCTCGAATGTACTTTCAAGGCCACAATCATCTGCAGTCTTAAGCAGCTGATCCTCTTCCAGCATGGATAAAGTCGATTCACCTGACTTATTCACACATGGGTCATGGATCCATTCTTTCCCAGTTCAGGGGTCTTTTGTGGTTGGGAAGTAATGCTCACACTCTTCTGAAAGCTGAGACAGGTGACCATGCACCAGCTGGGAGAAAGGAGGCCCTGGCTCAGTCTCTTTCAAAATCTCTTAATGTTTGAAACATAACAAAAACCCCAATGTTCACTCATTGCCCCCATAATTCCAGTTTGGTTTTGAATGGTGCTACTTTTTCTGCCAACTTGAACACAGTCATTGTTCTCCCCTGAAGTGACAGATTAAGTTAATTGAGCAGGTTGACTATGTCACACCAGTAAGCAGGTTTTGCGACCCATTCTGTGTCACTGAAATGTGCTGCCAGTGGTGACCATTTTTCTAAAAGAAGTCTTCAGAGTGGCTCTTGTAACTCAAAAGCTCTGGCTGGTGATCCACCTGTAGAAAGGCATCTCACTTCTGAGTGTAAGGTGTGCTGTGTCCATCTCCTCGCAGAGCTGTGTGAGCAGTCATGAGTTAAGGGCATGTACATTAATGTGGCTGATAATGTAAATCACATCCTGAAAAACAATGTTAAGTTCTGGTGACATTTTTTGGCTAGCCAGCATATCTCTATTGATGACACAGTGTGTACACTCACATTCAAAAAAGCAACCTCTTTGACACAAGTAGTGAAACCAGAAAGCTGTCCAGTCATGGCAGCTGCTCTGTGAATATACTGGCACAAAATGACTAATTTGATTTTCCTGATATGTAATCATTCAAAGACTTGAACAGTTCTGCAGCTGTGGTGTTAGTTAGCAACAAAAGTACACATAACACATCCTCCTGAAAAATATATCACACAGAAACAAGCATTTTATTGCCTTCTTGTCAATAACAATAGACTCATCGGCCTGGATTGTGTACCATGGTAACTTATTAATCCTCTCTAACAATTGTGCCTCAATATCCCCTGCTATTTCATCAATTCATCTAGGTATGGTGCTAGCACAAAGAAGAACATATGCTACCTATTAAACTACAGCCTCTGCCAAAAGTTCATGACAAATGTCCTTAGCAGCAGACAGGATCAACTCTTTACAGTAGTAAAGGTCTCCTTAGCTTTAGCAATGTGGTCAGCCACTAAGAATGATGCTTCAGTGCAGACATATTTTATGAAGTGGCAGCCTTCAATAATTGATTCTGTTCTTCATGTTCATTTTTTTAAACTCCAAAGTCTTGTTTTTTGATGCAGTGTGCTTGGTCTCCATGTGGCAAAGCAGTTTCGAAGGTTTCATGGCTTTATTGGATAGCTGGTCACCACATATTATACAAAGTAGGTTTGGAGAATGTGACTCACCTGTTGCAATGAACCCGTAATTTAAATAGGACTCTTGGTATTTTCTTTTAAAATACCTTGTAGCTTTCTTTTTGTTGGCAGTCTTAGAGTCTTCTGCTGTCTCATCATTGGGTCTTTCCCCCTTTTCAAAGAAGCTCTCCAGTGACATTTGTTTTTACTCATTTTGGCTAGAGTTAGCATGAGAGCTTACTGAAACTGTGACTGAGGCAAGTGCGCAGTCAGGGAAAGAGGCACAGATGGAAGTGGTAAGTAAATTTATGGGTGGGTCATGTGTGGACTAAAATAAGTGTTGGATTCTGACTTAAAGCCTGCCACCAGATGTAGCTTAATTATCACTTGCCACTTACTGATAGGGTTTTGATATGAGTTTGCGAACGGTTGATGTATTAGGATCTCTGTGCAATCAAACCTCTCTGCTAATGATAATCTGTGTTTGAAGCCACTCCCCAGCATTGCATTCACTGCCTCAGTTCCACCTCAGATCATCAGACATTAGATTCTCATAAGGAGCACACAGCCTAGATCCCTCACATGCACAGTCCACAGTAGGGTTCATGCTTCTATGAGAATCAATGCTCCTACTGATCTGACAGAAGGCAGAGCTCATGCCGTAATGTGAGTGATTAGGGAGCAGCTTTAAGTACAGATGAAACTTGCTCCTACATGTTCACCTCCTTCTGTGTGTCCTGGTTCCTAACAGGACACTGACTGGTACTAGTCAGTTGGGGAGCCCTGAAGTGGATAACAGTCGTCCAGATGTCATCTCCCAGGTAAATTTCCCAGGTCAGTATACTGGAATTAAAAGAAAGGAGAATAGGAGCTATAGGACGGGGCTATTTCAGCAGCACAATATCATGAGGTACATCCATCAGACACAAAGAAAGGTGAGAGGGCAAGTGTCCGTCTACAACACTGGAAGGCAGCACCGCAGGTGCTCAATTAATATTTAATGAGTGAATAAGATAAGACATGAGATAGAATGAGCAACCTGAGAGAGGGCCTTAGTGCCCTACAAGGTGTTTTGATTTCAACACGACAGGTAAACAGAAGATGCTAGAGAGGATTCACACAGAAGCACTAGACCAAGCTCCAGGGCTCACTGTTCAACTGCAAAAACTTTTATGCTTAGATTGTTTTTTCATTGACAAAGTCTGAAATGAGGAACAATCACTCCACCTTCCAACAACCTGCTGTGGCAAATCCCAGAGGAAAGTAGTTTTCCTTATGCTTTAGGGTTGCTCCCTTTCCTTTTTTGCTTTCACCTACCAAAATGCATTTTTGGAGAGACCCAAGGTTTCTGAAGAACGGCGGCAGCCTGGAGGCTTTCAATCCCTGTAAATTCAAACCCACTGTGAATTACCTGCGCCTCTGAGTCCTGGGCGGGCGTCGTTCGCTGGCTCGCTCCTTGCAGTGTCGCCAGCCGGCAGAAGCAACGGGTGTGTTAGCGACCTCCCTCCTGCCGCAGTACTCCAGTGGCCGCAAGCCGCCACCTCCTAGGGCTGCCGGGGAACTTGGTGGGCGCTGGGAGGTGGGGCCGAAGCTGAGTGGGCGCCACTATTGGCCGACAGAGCGGCGGAGGCGGAGCGGAGCCTCCATGATTGGCGGGGACCCCAACCGGAGGGGGCGGGGCCACTATATCAGTGGAGTCTCTGTCGCTGCTCAGGCAGTCGGGCTGCTGGAGTGCGGCGCCGTCGCGAAGACTGAGAAACCCCGCAGGCGGGCGGGCTGCGGAGGGGGTGGCTGGAGGGCGCGGCGGCCGCCCAGTTGTAGGGCAGGGGTCTGCAGGGCAGCAGCCTCCCGGGGGCCAGCCACGCCGAGCCCGGAACTGGGTCTGATTGGTGGCGAGGCAGCAACCACTCACACACCAAACAGGAGGCGGCTGTAGCGGCCCCAGCGGCCCCAGCCATGCTGTGCTATGTGACGAGGCCGGACGCGGTGCTGATGGAGGTAGAGGTGGAAGCGAAAGCCAACGGCGAGGACTGCCTCAACCAGGTGAGGATGAGGGGCCAAGCGGGAACCCGATCGATCCCCCAAGGCAGAGGGGCCTCGTGGCAATGTCAGGAGCTAGGGCGCGCCACTTGGCAGGACCGGGAGGAGCTGCGGCGGCAGCCTAGGGGAGCGCGGCCCCGGGCAGCTCGCCCCGGGCACCCGGCGGACGCACACTCCTCCTTGCGGGCGAGGGGTGCGCGGCCTCTATGCCGGCGCTCCCGGAACGCGTGGGGGTGGGGGTGCGGAGGACGAGTGTGACGGCTGGCTACCCAGCCCCCCAGCCCGGCACTTTTCCTGGAAGAAGGCGGTCCAACACACCTGCTGCAGGTGTGTGCAAGATCCCAGTCTTGTCACCGCGGGGCCTGGCAGTGACAACTGCGTCTCAGGATGAGGTGTCTGGAAGCGGCCTCTTGTCCTGGGTTGCTTGGCAGACAAGCCGGGCCCTTGTCTCTTGCTGCTTCTCAGATGGACCGTTCACCTGCATCTCCGAATTTGCGGAGGATCAGAGAACAGTGGGTTTTGGCCATCTATTTCTGTTGTCTTTAAAGCACGCAGCGTTTCCTTAGGAGTGAGGGATGGTTCCGAACAGTGGAACAGTGGTGTGGCAGACAGCAGATTTGATCTCAGGTGAAATGCTATGCCCCTAAACCCCTGGGACCTGAAATGGTTGGAAAACCTCTTATAAAGCTTAGCTGACACTTGTGGCATGTTTCCTCTTTTTTTTTTTTTTTTTTTTTTTTTTTAGTCCAGATGTTTAAAATTGTCCAGATAACTTAGCTGCCAAATCAGCTGCATCGATTGTGCTGGTGGAGGGAATTCTGGCGATTGGAATAAGAAAGCAAATACCCTGAGATTATCGTCCTCAGTTTTTCTGGAAGGGTACTTTAGAGGACTCCCTTTTTCTTTACTGCCATTGGCCATGTTATAGATATTAAAGCAAGGGCAAGCCTCTATACTTCACCTAGTGGTTTAGCATCACTGGAGCCTTAGAACTTTGTTCTTCCAGTTTACAACAGTAATTGTAACACTGTTGAACTTTGTAAAAAGTAGGCAGGAATCTTAATCTTGCATAGAGTCATCAGATTTGCTTTGACTACATGGACCATTGTGCTCATCCAGGCTACATTCATTTTTTTTAGGTGTGCAGGCGATTGGGAATTATAGAAGTTGATTACTTTGGACTGCAGTTTACGGGTAGCAAAGGTGAGAGTTTATGGCTAAATCTGAGAAACCGGATCTCCCAGCAGATGGATGGGCTAGCCCCTTACCGGCTTAAACTGAGAGTCAAGTTCTTCGTGGAGCCTCATCTCATCTTACAGGAGCAGACTAGGTAAAGTGATGCTAAAATAAACCAACGTCAAACAAACTTTGCACCTTCCCAGAGATGTTCATTCACAGGCAAATTTGTCTGATACCATGTTGGTTCATAACTTAAAAGTTTTCTGTGTCATGGCCCTTTTATTAAGATGAAGAGGGAGCTATATAGCTGACCTGAGGTACATTTTGCAACTCTTCTTGTGTTTTTTCTTTTCTTTATACACAATGAGAGAGCAGGGTTGAATTCTTACAAACACTTGAGATTAGTGCCACATCTGAGACAGAGAGAGAGAACAAACCCAGGAGACTTCCGGATAGCAGCATCTAATGCCCGAGATTAACCTCTGCCTCAGCGGTGTTACTATAGGTCATTGTAGACTGTTCTGACAGAAAGCAGGAAGCAGTTCCTCTTGGATTACTTAAATTTGGTTAACTTCTTCAACCTAGTGTCAGATTACAGTGCAATTTATTGCAGAATTTTAAAACTTTTTAAATATCTGGAAAACTTAGTAAGGCAATTCTTTTAAGGCCAGTTGTAACCGAACTCCAACCCACTGGTATGTTACACAGGAGTGTTGAGTTTAGATTGTTTCCTTCTAGAAAACCACCAATAGTGGTAAATTCCTGGAGCATGTGGTTTCCTCTTTCAAACTAAAAATGTTTTCTCCCTTGGACTGATGGTTATACTTTTCTGAAGGATGAGCCACACTAGAAAACCAATGTTTAATATTTATTGCTGAAATGCAAGAGACCTATATTGAACAGTGGCATATCAAAAAGAAAGGAGGGGGGGAGGAAGGAAGGAAGGAAGGAAGGAAGGAAGGAAGGAAGGAAGGAAGGAAGGAAGGAAGGAAGGAAGGAAGGAAGGAAGGAAGGAAGGAAGGGGAAAAAAGGATAACAAGTAATTTTAAATGCAGCAAACTTTGGGTCTAAGTTCTCATGTTTTTCATAACCCTTTGCCTTGAAAATTCGCAATGCTCATGAAAAATGTGAGTGTGAAAATTCTGAGTAATGATGAGTGAACAGTATACTTTAAGAGTATTTAACATATCACATTTTTGTTTGTTTACCCAAGGACAGATAGAAACCTATTTTCAAATACTGCTCATTTGAATTCGAACTCTCTGCTCTGCCTTGTTATGGAGCTTTAGAGTGAGAAAAATGTTCCATTTTGTTTCTGAAGTAACTGATATATTGAATTCTTAGTGCTCCTAAAAATGTCTTGCAAAATATCCAAGTGATTGCATGTTTTGGGGGTTTTGTTGTTGTTTTTTACTTAAAGCTGATTTGTGAAAACTTCCACTTTTCACTTCAGTGTGATAACTGTCAGTCAAGTAAGAGAAAAAATATATATGAAAAACAATAGATTGCTATTTTCATTGTGTACTTTTATCATGATTTTAAATCATGATTCAGGGCCTCCAGATGCAAATCTATTTTGATGACACAAATTTATTTTTAAATCTGCAGAAGTTTGGAGGAGCAAATACATCATTCAAATAATGGCTGTGGTTATAATAGTATAATACATTTGTATAAGGAATGCTTACAGGCTTTAAAGTGTACTATAAGATGGTCTTTACCTGAGCTTTCTCATAATTGAGTTAATAACTATTATCAAATCTATTTTTTCATGCAAAAAATAGAGACATTTTGTGAATTAGAAACAAATTTTCTAATTTATTGATTCAGTTGACTTGACTCTTGAGATTCTTGCCTAATGTCACTCAGAGAATGCACATATCTAGTTAGATGAGGTATTTTTAATTGATTTTAGATCTTTTTGAAACCTTATTGAAAAATTAGTATGATCTAAGCTTCTGACTAACTTTTAAAATATTGGTGCATTTAGGGTTTTTTTGTGGTATTGCCTGAAACACAGAATTTTAAGATAATGCCACCTCAAGTTTATATAGCATTCTGCCTTTTAATAGCTAGATAAAATAATTTGTACATTTTTACCAAATGTTACATTTATAACCTTTCTACATTTTAATTAGGATCAGAAGTTGTGCTGCATCCCATTTAGTTATATAGTCAGCATTGTTTTTATGTGCTTAATACTGTAAGGACAAAATACTTATTTCCCCTAATGTTAGGTTAGCAAGATAAAGCTGGTCGATAAACTTACTGATGTTTAATTATTCATTAAAACTACTTATATAAAATGGCACAAAAGTAAAATACATGTGTTACTGTAGTGAGTAAACTCAGCTTTACCAGTCCGGTAATGGGAGGTAATTGTTTACTCTCTCTAAGTCCAGTCATAAGGGCACATTTGGTGTACTGACAGTGTTGGGACTGTTTAAGTGGTGCTGAAATATCCTGGCTGAGTTGTCCTCCGTGGACAATTAAAGTAGCCTGCTCACAGCACAGCTGGCCTAACCAGGAGCCAATTAATATATCAGTGTTGCTTTGCATCAGTTTAGGGAGGCTGCTGTGAGAATGCAAGGCAGGAAAGCCTGTTCATAACAGGAAGGTACTAGAGTCAGGGCAGAAGCCCAGCAGTCTAGGTCCAGCTCTGCCCCTGAGTACCAGTGTATGCAGAGTTCGAAGCCTGAACCAGCCCTTTATCTCAACTGAAAGCCCGTGACTCAGTTGTCTCTAGAATCTCTTCTATCAGTAGGTTTTTTTTTCCTTTGCTTCCACTTCCTTTCTGTAAGATTTTCCTCAATACATTTCTCTGAAGACAGAAAAAATGTATCAAATGTCTTAGATTAGTATGTAGAGTTAATTGGTCTCTGATTTGGTCTAATTTTAGATTTGGTTCTTTACCCAGATTATTATGTTTGCTCTTCAATGGAAGCCTGAAAAGTAACCAGAGAGTCTGGTTTAGGCTCAGCTGGCACATTTCAGACATGGAAACAGCAGGTATTTCCAGCAGATGTTTACCATAATATGGATTCCAAAAGTGAAACTAATGTATTCTGGAAGGAGGTCTGAAATAACGATCTTTGAATTCTTGCCTTTCAAAGGCTCTTGGGTATTCACAGCAATTCAGACCAGATTTTGTCAACATTTTCCAAACCAGAGATTAGGGAATTATATGCTTCATCTTCAGAGATGGTAATTATCCACTGTCAATAACATGCATTTCTTCTGAGTGTGCCACATTTTAGAACAGGTCTGCTGTCTTTGCTAGGGGTACTCCTGCTTTAGTTCAGACTAACCAGTGCCAGAATTCCCTCTCCCAAGAAACAACCCCAACATAAGGACTTGGAGAGGACTGGATAAATATTTATGGAAAGGCTGAATCCTGAACATTGAATTTCATCAAGATTTCAGTGCTGTGAGCAGGGACGAGGGACTTGTCCCTGGTTAAATCCTTTCTTCCTTCAGACCTCAGCTCAGCCACCACTCCTCGGGAAAGCCATCGCTAGGCCTGCTTAGGAGACTGAACTCTCCCAAGACATGATGTAACATTCTTCTGTAGCATTTAATGAGCGTATATTGCAGTTGCTGATCTGACAGTGTGTTTACTGTGAGCCACTCTAATCATCTAAACTGCATGAGACAGGGAGCCGATCCACATTGTATCCCCAGAGTCTAGCAAGTGCCTGGTGCATAAGTAGTCATTGGATCAGTGAGTTAAGGACTTGGAAATAAATAAAACAGGTTAATTGATACAGATGATGTGCATTGTCTTACAGAAATTGAAATGTGTTGCCAGGTTGCTTCTATAAACTGAAAAGTTTGACGCTTTCAAAAAGAAAGCTCACCATTAAAACGTATTTTGTAGTGACTGTTCTCTGTTAAGAAATTGCTCAGTGCTTAGCATTCATTTGCTTCTTTCCCTCTTTCCTTGCCACCTCTAGGGCATTTGTTTGTTGTTTTGTTTTGTTTGTTCCCAAACACAAAATAGGCTCCAGGAAAGTAAATATGAGAAAAAGATGTATAATTTTGCCAAAGAAAATACTCAATGTCTGAATTCTAATTTCTCTATCTTTCCTTTTGCTCAGAATACAGGATGTTTGTGTTATTATTGACGTATGTTTATTTCGGCCACTGATCTCCCATCTGGGTGCCTTCAGTCTCTCTCTGAATTTATGATCCTTAGTATTTGTATGGAATCTCCAAAGACCATTGAGGAGTTGATTTTTATGTAATGAAAATGAACTTCAAATCCTGACCGGGTACTTTTTAAATAAGATTTGAAGACTTAGATGGCAGTTAGTGCCAGACTCAGGGTGACCAGGGTACATAGCCCCCGTGGGACCAGGTGTGTTTATTCTTTAATTGTGTCCTGCTGCAGCTGGGGTGCTGGACTTGGTAGCACTTCCCACTAATTTAGATTGTTAAGAAAGAGACTGTAGTTAACACTTTTAAACCATAGGACTGCCTGGATTGCTGTTTGCAAGAACAGGTACCTATGATGAGTAATCATGTTCTTTAGACGTGCAGATGTTATGCTTCCAAGTAATGGTATCCTTCTGGTGTAGGTTGTAATTACTTTTGAAGTTGGGGATGTCCTTCCCACTCCTGCCTTTCCCCACCTCCAGATCGTTTAACTTCTGGGAACCTGAGGAGGAATAAATTTGTTAGTAATTATCAACAGTTTACTTTACTTGTCTTATCACATTTTTATCCACTTTTGATCCCTCTATCTGTCTATCAATCTGTTCAGTGCTTGTTAAAATGAATTGGATGTAGGTACACGTTCCCCTAAATTCTTCAGTACTTCAGTGTGGACATCATTAACTAAAACTCAATATTTGCCTACAGTTCTTTTTTTTCTTTTGATATAAAATTTACATATGATGAAGTGCACACATTCTAATGACACCATTGAATGGTTTTTTGACAAATGGGTGCGCCCACTTAAACAAAACTCTTGTCGCGGTTTAGAACCTTACTAGCACTCCAGAAAGTTTCCTCATGCCCTTCTACAGTCATCCTCCTCTCCTCCCCGCCCTTCCCCACCACACCACCAGGGTTATATGCTTTTGCAGCATAGATTCGTTATGCCTGTTGTGCTTAATGTAGATGGAATCATGATGTGCATACTTTTGCGTG